CTGCGGTAGCTCACTGGGTGATTTTCCGCCAGTCACATACTTTCAACCTAACCTACCCCACAGGATTGTTGTGCAGATAAAAAGGAGAAGAGGAGGACAATTTAAACTGCTTTGGTCCCCACTGTGGAGAAAGATGGGGTATAAATGAAGTAAATAAATATTAAATATAGCTGAATTTATTTATATATTCGATTTGTATCCCGCCCTCCCCACAAGCGGGAGGCAGATAAAAGGTAGGCTCATGAATGGCTGAGAAGGAAAGACTGAGGCAGGGAAGGTTGAGGATCAGGGTTGCCATCCCCCAGGTGGGAGCAGGGAATCCCCTGATTTTGCAGGCTCCTGCCCACCACCAGCCAGTTGGCCGGTGGAAGCCCCACCCCCAACAGCCATGACCCGGCATGTTTCCAATGTGATGATGTCATGCGGAAGTGACATCATCACGCCAGGGACATTGTGCAGCTATGCTCTGGTATTTTAGGCAAAACTTTATGGTAACCAAAGATTTTTTCCCAAAATATCATATTGTTGCCATGCAACGTCCTCAGCAAGATGATGTCACCTGCATGATGTCATCATGCGGGAAAGAGGAAATGGTGGAGGAGGGGGAAATGAGATGCCTTCTGCAAGTCCTTAATGGTTCCTACTTGTTTTCCATAATATTATCACATCTTGAAAGTGTCAATACGCACTGCTGAAATTCCAAAACAAAGTTTTACAATAAATGTATACAAGAGTAATATTTGTGTGGCTCCAGACAGAATGTGTGGCTCCAGACAAAGTACTGTTATATAGTTATTGACAGGCTGGTGTATAAAAAAGAACAAGAGACAGGTGATTTGATTTCACTAGATATATAAATCTTGGCAAGTAGGAACTCAAAACTCATCTTCTGACAAAGGAAGATTTAAACATACAGTAAAACCAAGTAAGACATATTGATCAAAGGACACTTTGCAATATCCATCATCTTCTATAATAATAAGACTCAGTATGTCCATCAGTGCATCTGTGGCAGGCATAACTCATCCAAAAATAAAGCTACAAGCCTCAAAATTTGTTGAGTACGATCATGGGAGTTGCACTGACAAAGATGAAAGGAATTGGAACATTCTGGCCCACGCAACCTCAGACACCCACCCCCATCTCCCTGCTTTTTGCATGTGAAGCAATGGTTGTCTGTGGCAGGCATGACGTACCCAAAACTATAGCTAGGAGCTTCATAATTGGCTCCTGACTTTAGGATAATCATCAAATTATTCGAGATGATGATGGGAGTTGCTGTGTCTAGAACATCCTTGCCTAGGTGACCTGCTGTCAGATGGCCTTGGGCCAGTCTAATACACTTGGCTTAATGTACTTCACAAAGTAGTAGTTGTGAGGATAAAGCAGAGGATAGGAGAATGGTGTAAGCTTTGGGTCCACATTGGGGAGAAAGGAAGGGTATAAATGAATTAAATCTGTAACAATAAAGGGATGCATCTGTCTTGATTTGCAAAACTCTTACTTTGCACACAGGCAGCTTTCCTTTCTTTTCAAGCTCCTTCGATCCAACGATCTTGAGGAACAAAAAGGAGTCCTTATTTCTTTAAGGAAAATATTGTGGAGAGATACTTGGCCACATTCAGCATAATCCTTGGATCTCTATTCACCAACAGATAAGGAACTGTGCTATCTTTTGATAAAGTAGAAGGTAATTTTGTTAAAATAGGGGCAATCCATAACTCATTATAGAAATGATAATAAAGGCATTCCAGTATTATATGGGGCAAGGAGTCAACCTTTTTCAGCCCACATTGGCAAAGCCTGTTCATATAGGACAGCTGAAGGGGCAACTTCCAAGTGCACTAGCATAAATGCTCTACAGTAACAAGGGGCTGTTAGAAATTTTATATAGGCTGGGGTGGTTAGAGATGGAGAAATGCCAAAAATCTGGGTACAGCATACTCTCTGAGCTCATGTAACTGAAGTGATCTAGATCTTTTATACGTTTCTTAATAGTAAAGATTCACTTTCCCCAAGTTTCAATATATCATCCTTTGCTAGGCCAAGACTAAATAATTCCTTTTCTATTTCTTGCATCCAGTGGGAATAGAACTGGTCTTGATTGAGCTCATATAGCAAACCTCCTTTGAAGAGAAAATGACCTTTAGCCTGTGTCTAAATGCATGCAGCCATGCTTTGGCTTCAATAGAGCCCTGGGCCCGATTCTAACCTTAAAGCTATTTATTTATTTAATTTATATTCCGCCCTCCCTGCCGAGGCAGGCTCAGGTCAACTTACACAAAGATAGTTAAACAAATAAAACAGAAAGCTGAGTAAAATCACAATAAGTAAGAGATAAAAACATTACATAAAGTGCTAGTACAAAGCATGTAACGATGTTGAGCATTGGCAACATCCAAAACATCAAACAGTCATCTAACATCATAGTCTGGGTCATATCGGCGGGAGCAGGTTGTTAATGGTGATGTTAATATTGGGGTCAGTGCCTCAGTTTATAGGGTGCCAGCTACACATCTTCAAGTTCGGTGATACGTCACAAAAAAATGGCAAAGAAAATTCTTTTGAACTATGATGCTGAAGAAGACCCTTGAGAGTCCCTTGGACTGCAAGAAGATCAAATCAGTCAATCCTAAAAGAAATCAACCCTGACTGTTCCCCGGAAGGCCAGATAATGAAACTGAAGCTCAAATACCAAATAAGAAGGGAGCACTCACTGGAGAAGACCCTGATGCTGGGAAAGATTGAAGGTCAAAGAAGACGGGGACGGCAAAGGATGAGATGGTTAGACAGTGTCACAGATGCAACGAACATGAAATTGAACAAACTTCAGAGGACGGCAGAAGACAGGAAGGCCTGGCATGATCTGGTCCATGGGGTCGCGAAGAGTCGGACTCGACTGTGTGACTGAACAACAAAATTGTCTCTAACTTGGAGAATCCATACTGAGCCTCCATAAAGGAGCCATGGAATAATTTTCAAACTGAACATGTGCAACCCCCCTGGAATATATTTACCTCTCTTACAGAAAAAGAAGTGTTCGATCGCTGCGACAGAGGCTTTAATCTTGTTTGTCACAAATTTAAAATGGGATTGCCAGTTAAGATTAGAATAAAAAAAACACACCTTGGTATGGAAATTTGTTAACTTGTTCTAATTCAGCACCATCAATTCTCCAGACCAAAGGAATAGTTTTCTTGGCTTTAGAAAAGACCTTTGACTTTGAATGATTGATCTGAAGTTCTTCAGATCTGCAATATTTGGGAAAACAACTGAAAAGCCTTCTCAGCTTCATGTAGGATGCTCAAAAGTAGGAAATGGAAGAAGACTATTTACTTTAGCTATTTATGGCAGCATAATCAGTGTAGACTCTAACAAATCTTAATGATCTGTCAAAACCAGGTTCACTCTCACCCTGAGAGAGAAGGGAAGGAGCTGGTGTGGCACAGCCTGGAACACTCTGATCCTGAAGAAGAAACAGCAGAGTGGTCTGGCATGCTCCAGAGTACTCTTACCCCAGGGAAGCAGTGATACTGATGCAGGGCAAAGGGAAAAGCAAGGCAGGTCTGTGGTTGTAGCTAAGGAACAGATGGGGAACTGACAGCCTGTACTAGCTCCCTATGGAGGAAAGGTCTCTTCTTCTGTAGAGGTAGCCTTGGGAGAAAGGACCCCAGTTAAGGGAGGCAGGAACTGGAAGTAGCCAGGAGGAGGGGGATAAAAGACCCCAGCACGAGGAAGTGGTTGAGTGATACAACCAGGAAAGTGGAGCAGCCAGTAAGGCTGGAAGTCTTTGCATCTTGGAGGAACTACAATCTCAGTGACACCTGGAAGACAGTATCCCTGCCCAGCTATACAACAGTTACCACCTCCTGATAGTCCAGTCATCTCAATGCTCAGTTCTGCAGGAAGAGTGCAGCAGCCCGATGGTGTGACTAAAAGAACCTCAGAAAGGGTCCATGCCTGAAGCTGGCCTGAACCTAGGTTGAAGCACGTGGAGGAGACAATGGGCCTTCTTGCTGGAGCATGATTCTTAATGGCATGAGTTTGTCAATATATGTGAACAAGCAGTTAAATCACAGTAATTCCTGGTTGTTAGGTTGTCTGTGCAGGAGATGTAGGAGGATAGGATACCATAATGGAGATGTAGGAGGCTAGGATACCCTTGGCCCTGTGATGTTTATACTACCATAAATAAATATTTTGGTCTTTCATTTCTACAGGTAATTGTTTTATTATTTATAATTTAGTCACTTGCTAGTTATTATGATTCCTTACTATACATGTGAAGATATGATGGTTGTTATGTAAATTGTTAAACTGAATTGTTATGTACAATTCTGTACCAAAAATGTATAATATTTCAGCTAATTAACTTAAATATTGCATGTTGCTGAAGTATTTTAAGTGCTGTTCTTCTAGTGTGGTTAAGACTGTCAAACTAGAATCTGGGAGACCCAGGTTCAAACCCTCCCTCTGCTATAGGGCTGCCAGTCTCCTGGAGATCTCCCACTTTTACACCTGATCTCCAGCCGACAGAGATCAGCTCCCCTGGAGAAAATGGCTGCTTTGATGGGTGGACTCTATGGCATTGTAACCATGCGGCGGTCCCTACCCTCCCCAAACTTCGCCCTCTCCTGGGTCCACCCCCAAAGTCTCCAGGTATTTTCAAGCCCAGACTTAGCAACCCTAATGCTATGGAAGCTTTACTGGGCAACCTCGGACCACTCACGCTCTCTCAGCAACTCTTACCTCACGTTTGCCAACCATCCTCACCCCCACCCATTACTCCGTTCAGTTCTACGCATGCTCAGATGCCAAAAGACACACGGTCACCGGCGAAACTCATTACACATGCGCGCTTCGTCTTTAGCCTGGGATACCGTCGGCGCATGTTCTTTGGCGACCATAGAGGTAAATAGACGAGAGGCTGACTCCGTTGCCGGAGATGATGTTTGCAGCGCGCATGCTCTGCAGTGGTTCTTGATCCGGAAGTGGTTCACTGCGGGGAGTTGACACGTAGCGTCCGAGTAAGCCGAGCTGTTGGGTTGGGGGAGCCTTCAGGGCTCGTGTCCGCCGACTGCGCGGGGGAGTCAGGGTCTTGTTACGGAGGCGCTGCAGCTGGGTCTGCCTTTGATTGCGGCGCGCGCTGCCTTTCCATCTGCAGCAGCGTTCAGAACGGTGGCAAGGAGGGGAAAGAGAGGAAGACCCCCCGCCCCGGTGAAGTCCTTCTCAGCGCTCTAGTCCTTGTTGGAAGACTTCGTCTTTTCCAGACTGCGCTTTTTTATGGTCTCTTTTTTTTGGCAGGCGGTTTCATGCCGGGGTGCGTGTGTGTCTTGTTTTGCTGCATGTGAAATGGGAGGCCCAGAAAGATTGTGACCTCCTCCTCCTTCTCCTCCTCCTTCTTCCAACGCGCGCAATCTTGTTCTGCTAGGGCCGTATCTTGGCAGTTTGTTCTTAAAAGTAGGTGCTTTGAAACAGCAGCATTCTGGCTGCTACGGTTCGAGAGTTGAAAGAACCGGTATGCGAGAACTATTACAATAGGTAGTTTCATTGATAAGTTATGGATGACAAGTGAGTGTTGTCCTGAGCTGCCTACAAGTTCTGGGCAATAACTTTAATGGGTCCTTGGCATTTCCTGTGCTCTAAGTTTGGCGTGTCTGTCCCTCCACCCTCTTGCTTATGCATGTATATGAACTGTTGATTAAGAACTGGATAGTACTGTCCTGTGCACTGTTTTTTTGGGAATGTGAGTAATGAATGGATAAACTGTTCAGTGCCATGATGGAGTAATAGGACGCTCCCATGTTTCTAGGCTACCACCGGTATTCTATGGCCCTGGTCACACAGCAAAGTTGCCGCGGGAGAGGCACGGATGGTGGGCGGATTATCCGAGCGCGATCACACCCCAACATCTGGGAAGTGGAGCGCACCCGTGGCTTACCACCGACAATGCGCCTTAAAAAACTAGTACCTCCAAGGTACTAGTAAACGTTTGCCACGGGCTGCCTCCAGACGCCCCTGGTGTGATCGCACCGGCGCACGGCATTCTCCTCCGGTCCCTCGTTTACCCGCTGGCGCCAAGGGAAGGACCTGTGGTGTGCCGCCGGCGCGTCTGGTCACATAATCGTGCATCAAACTGCGCCGGGACAATTAGCCACGCCTCCCCCCCTGCGATATCTGGTCTGTGTGACCAGGGCCTATGGTGCCCAAATAATTCATATCAAAATAGTGTGGTTTTGGGAGGATTCTTAGGGGTAAAGCACCTACTGGACTTTCAGAAGGTCAGGATAAATTTCTTGTCTGTAGAGTTCTAGTCTGCTAAAAGGAACTCAAGTGACTAGGCTCCTAGAGACAAAGACCATTTCTTGACATCCTAGAGAGTCATAGCTAGTCAAAATAGATATTACTGGATTAAATGGACCAATGGTTGGACTCAGCCTTTTTTCTGCATGTTTTTTCAAAAGACCCTAGGTTTGCCAAGCCAATTGTCTGTTTGTGATTTGATTGCAGGCATTGTGTTCTGACTTCTTACTACTTAATGTGGTATGCTTTTTTAAAAATAAAGATATCACATTTCTTTAGTCACGAGATTGTATGTTTTTGTGTGGTCAGATCTTTTAAATACCTGTTACTGACAACATGGATTCTCTTCTTTAAATTCAGGTGGGCAGCAGTATTAGTATGTAGTAGTAAGAATGAAGTTTGAGTTTAATAGTGCCTTAAAGATCAGTAATATTTCCCAAGGTGTAAGTTTATGTGAGTCAAAGCTCACTTAGTGTCTGATGAAGTTAGTTTTGACTCATGAAAGCTTCCAGTCTGAATAATTTAGTTGGTCTTTAAGATGCTACTGGACACAGATTTTGTTCTTTTAAACATTGTTATGCTTGAAGGGGCATATATATATGCTCTGGAGCGGTAAAAATATTGTCTTTTGACATGGAAAGAGCAGTAGAGCTCTAGTTAGTGTCATGCTACATTAAACTGTCCTTTGCTTTACAGAGGGGTTACAATGTCTGGATTTGACAACTTGAATACAGACTTCTACCAAACAAGTTACAGCATTGATGATCAAGCACAGTCATATGACTATGGAGGAGGAACATACAGCAAGTAACTTGAATTTTCTATTGTTTTAATAATCAGAATATATTGTAGTATCTCCTTAGCTTAAATGCTGGAATAGGTGTAATGTTTTATAATTACAGTGCATTCCAGGGGTTTTTTTGTCTAGAAATGCTTGGAATTAAAAGCAAAAAACAAAAAGCCTGTATACTTGTAAGCTGTGGTATCAGTCCAAGGAACCACAAAGGAAAGGAGTTGCTAACGCTGCTCCATAAATATATGTGCAAAAGCTCACACAGTGCTTTGATAGATAAACTTCTATTCCCATTCTAAGCCAATGTGGCATAATGTTTATTGTTAGATTTGGACAGGAATATACTGAATTCAAACCTGCACTTAGCCATGAAGTTCACTGGAGGAACTCGAACCGCTTACTGTCTCTCAATCCATCCTATTCATAGGGTTGTTGTGAGGATACCATACAGAAAATTGAGACTGTCACCCTGATGAAAGGCTAAAAAATCTGATAGATTATGTATCTGGTTGTGCAAGTTATTATGCAACTTTTTTGATGTAGTTTAATTCTAGCACACAGTGTGAAACTATGTTTTTATAAGTAGATGATGTTTCTGCACGCATAAGGGCATATTTGGATCCAAGTCATTGAATATTTCACATAAAAAGTGCAGTGGGTTAGCCTTTCTTCCTGTTTGTGTGTCTGTGTGTTTACATTTTTAGTTATTTTAAATATGTGTGTGTGTGGAACCCTGAGAAGAAAAATGGCATACAACTGTTTTTTAAAAGTACATACAATAATGTTCATTTTATATTTAACTCCAATACATATTAAGTGCCTATTTAGTCTAATACATATGGCACAATTTTAGTTGAACATATGCAAAGAGCCCTCATGTGTACTGCTACCCATCTAGGATTGGATTCTTATGTTTGTGTATGATGTTTCTCACGTTCATTTGTGCAATAAAAGCTATATTGGGTGTTGTCATGATCTGGCCTGTGCCAGTACGGCCTAGCCAGCTTAAGAGGCCTGGGTGGCAGTAGGAGGCAGCTAGGCCTACAACTCCCAGAAGGCATTGGGAGAGGCAGAGAGGATTCTAAAGAGACCGTTGGAGTCGGTTGGGAAGACAGTCTGAGAGGAGACTGTGATAGTCTGGTGGGAGAAGGAATCTGAGCTGTTCACTGAGGGAAAAGGGTGTCTTTTGTCTCTCTCTGCGGCCTGATCTTAGTGAGAAGATAGGCTGGGCTTCGTCTCTCTGCAACCTGATCTTAGTGAGAAGACAGGTTGGTCTGCGAGGAAAGGATCCCTCAGTGTGAGTGTTAGGCAGGCAGGCTGTGGGCCTGGAAGTAAAACAGTTAGGAGTAACAGGTAGCTGCGTTAGTTTATGTTTATTTTTCCTTTCACACTGTTATCCCCCTTTTTAAGCACCTTGCCGTGTCTTGTTTTTCCCTGCCCCACTGTTGTTTTAATAAACCCTTTTTGTGTAATTATTTTCTCTGCCTGGGTCAATCACGCCTGTATTGCTCGGCTGAAAAGGGGCTTGGGAAGGTACCCTGGGCCTCCCAAGGGACCATAAATCCAGGGTGGTGGCGGCGGAACCCAAAGACCCCTCTGGGGTCATGACAGGTGTTGAGAAAATATGAGCTTCTATACAAGAAATTACATAGAATAATACTTTTTTCCAGATGTTCTTCTCATTATTGTGTGTTTTTATAAGCTTTCCTTCATGTAGTCTGCATTTGTCAGATCATCTAGGTAGCTTGCTTACAAGTAGAGAAAAAAGTATTAATGCTAGCAGTTTTCTATCCCAAGGGCCAGTTGTACTGGATGTGTCACAATATATATGTGGTCACTGTAGATGTCACAGCTGTTGAAGCACATTCTAGTGTTGGCATTATGCTTCAACTGGTTTATGAAGAAGGATGGAGCAATAACAGCTATGGTAATGTGTTGTTTGAGTATACTGTGGGATTACCTGGCAGGTGAGTGTTCAAAAAAGATAAACAAGAACAGCTTATTATTTTGGTAATTGTAGAACTGATGAGTTTTAAAAACACCAACAGTTTTAAGGGGACCAGTCTTGTTAAATAGTTGTAATAAAACCTGACCCCCTTAACTTTAGTATACGTGAGCAGGGTTCTTTCAGTTTTTGTCCTGCTTCGTTGCAGGGATATAGTCTTACATTATTCTTCTGTGTCTGCTTAGAGTGTGTATGTGTGACAGAATGGAAGAGTCTGTACCTGAACAGAAACATTTGGGAGCTCAGGGGGCATTTCAGCTTCTAAAACTAACATCCTGTATATTATAAGGAAAGGTGATATATTCACCTGACTAATGTGGTTTTGCTTTCTGCAGACAATATGGTGGCTATGAGTATTCTCAGTCAACTGGATATGTCCCTCCAGAGATGATGCAGCAACAGCAACCTTATACTGGTCAGATATTTCAGCCATCACCAACTTATACTCCATCCTCACCCCAGTCTTTCTATGGAAGCAATTTTGAAGATGAGCCACCCTTGCTAGAAGGTTTGAAGTCATATTTGTTGCAAACCGTATGATCATTTGATACAGACTGTACTAAATAGAAAACAGCAATTACTCGTTGAGTGTCATGTATTTGTATGTTCTTACTCTGTCTTTAGTTTGGAAGAGCAGCTGCTGTTGTGTGTCTTTATCAGTGTCTGTTGTTCACAATTTTCTGTTTCCTTGATAAACTTCTTCCAAACTGTTTATAAAAGAATTAAACTGACACAAAGTAAACCTACAAGGAAGGAAATGCAGTAGTTACACTCTGCATCTAAGCAAGTAGTTTGGAGTCGATGGTTTGAGGCCACTGAAGAGTTAGATTTCAGATTTATGCAGTGTTCCAGTAACCTCCAAATTACTATTTTCCCACGGATGACGTATTGGTAAAATATTGCTCTTTCTGTAGAACTAGGGATCAATTTTGACCATATCTGGCAGAAGACCCTCACAGTACTGCATCCTTTAAAAATAGCAGATGGCAGCATCATGAATGAAACTGACTTGGCGGGACCGATGGTGTTTTGCCTTGCCTTTGGTGCCACCTTATTGCTGGTAAGACATCAGTAGTCATGTGTGCTTGTGAGAGTATTTGCATACTTGTGTCCCCCACAGTTTAAAAGACCTAATATGGCAAAACAAGAGGCTGTAAACTAAGAATTTTCTAACAAGCATGTGTCAATACTTAGATAAGGCTGCCAAAGAGTATGTTGTGTTAATGTGGTATGATGGCTATCCAATGTCTAAAAATTTATTTTAGGCATGGCCAAAGATATGGAAATTTAGACCCTTTTTCTTTTGAGCAACAGATGCCTATAACCTTATTATAAATGGCTTTTGAAATGCCCTTCCATTTCATAGGATAATTGCCAAGGCACAAAAGTTCTTATTTCCCTTGGGCATGCAGGACTAGTCTTATGGTTCTCTGGATTCAGGCCAAAGATGCTTAGTCCCTGTGAAGATCAAGCTTTTCTTTTAAATAAAAACTCACATTCTGATCTAGTTTATATTAAAAGCATTCTTCCCACCCACCCCCACATTAAAGTCCTCTGTCAATGTGTGGGGCAGCACATTGAAAAAGTCTGTGTGAAGTTGGTTTTGCTCCGTTTGCTCACTTCTTGTTCAGGCTCATCATGTTGCCCACTCCTTAAACACCCCTTTTGAATAACAATACGTATTTGTGTAGGATTTGGATGTGTTATAGAAATACAAAGGCACTGAAAGTTCTAACTCCTTCCTCTCAGAAATTCAAGGTTAAAAAGATGAGCTTGATTACATTTTTTAAATTTATCACTCCCTTGCAAATAACTCCAG